GCCCACCTTGATGTCGGAGGCGTTCTCCAGCATGGCCTGCCGCGAGGACAGCTCGGCCTGCGACACGGCGAAGTCGCCGTCCCCCGAGGCGGCGGCCGCGCGCAGCGACGCCACCTGCCGCTCAAACTCCGCCTGGGCGGGGCCGGGTCAGGCCACGCCCACCGGACACACCCACCGGACACACCCACGGACACGGGACACGCCCACGGACACACCCACCATGGATCACGGCCGAGTTCCCACCCACAACCCCACCTGCCGCTCAAACTCCGCCTGGGACACGCCCGTCAGTGGCCACGCCCATCAGTGGACACGCCCATCAGTGGCCACGCCCACAGGACACACCCACGGACACGCCCACTGTGGGACATGGCCGAATTCCCACCCACAACCCCACCTGCCGCTCAAACTCCGCCTGGGACACGCCCACCGGACACGCCCATCAATGGCCACGCCCATCGATGGCCACGCCCATCGATGGCCACGCCCATCAATGGACACGCCCACGGGACACGCCCACGGGACACGCCCATCAATGGCCACGCCCATCAATGGACACGCCCACGGGACACGCCCACGGGACACACCCATCGATGGACATGCCCATCAATGGACACGCCCACGGGACACGCCCATCAATGACCACGCCCATCAATGACCACGCCCACGGGACACGCCCATCAATGACCACGCCCATCAATGACCACGCCCACGGGACACGCCCATCAATGGCCACGCCCATCAATGGCCACGCCCACGGGACACGCCCACGGGACACGCCCATCAATGGCCACGCCCATCAATGGCCACGCCCATCGATGGACACGCCCATCGATGGCCACGCCCATCTATGGCCACGCCCACCGGCCACACCCACCATGGGACATGGCTGAATTCCCATCTACCAACACCACCTGTCATTCAAACTCCNCCCACCATGGGACATGGCTGAATTCCCATCTACCAACACCACCTGTCATTCAAACTCCACCTGGGCGGGGCCAGGGTCAGGACACGCCCACGGACACACCCACAAGACACGCCCATCAATGGCCACGCCCACGGGACACGCCCACCAGACACACCCGTCACCGGACACGCCCATCAATGGCCACGCCCACCGGACACACCCACGGAGGGACACGCCCACGGCACATGCCCGTAAATGGACACGCCCGTTGGACACGCCCATCAATGGACACGCCCACGGGACACGCCCACGGGACACGCCCAGGACAGGACACACCCATTGGGACACGCCCATGATGGGACACGCCCACTGGGACACGCCCAACACTGGCCACGCCCACGGGACACGCCCAGGACAGGCCCCACCCACCGTGGGACACACCCACAAGTGGCCCCGCCCACCACGGGACACGTGGTATGCTTTTATGCTAAGCCACGCCCACACGTGTGGCCACGCCCCTGGGAAAGCCACGCCCCTTGACCACACCCAGTTAGGCCACGCCCACAGAAGCCACATCCGGGTAAGCCACGCCCACAAAGTGCCACGCCCAGTTAGGCCACGCCCACAGAAGCCACGCCCACAGAGTGCCACGCCCCGTTAGGCTCCGCCCCCCGGGCCCCGCCCCTCACCTGCTTCTTCATCTTCTTCTTCTCCTTTTTGCTGACTCGGGCGTCCGGCCCCGCCCGCGGCCCCGCCCCCTCCTCCTGCCACACCCAGAACGGCCCAACGTGACCCAAAATGGCCCAAAAAACACCCAAAATGTCCCAAAATATCCCAAAACAGCCCAAAGTGACCCAAAATGTCCCAAAAAACACCCAAAATGTCCCAAAATATCCCAAAAGTGACACAAAATATCCCAAAACTGACCCAAAATGGCCCAAAGTGACCCAAAATGTGCCAAAATATCCCAAAAGTGACACAAAATATCCCAAAAGTGACACAAAATATCCCAAAACTGACCCACAACGGCCCAAAGTGACCCAAAATGTCCCAAAAACCACCCAAAATAACCCAAAGTATCCCAAAACTGACCCAAAATATCCCAAAAGTGACCCAAAATATCCCAGAATAACCCAAAGTATCCCAAAGCTGACCCAAAATGTCCTAAAAGTGACACAAAATGTCCCCAAAGTGACACAAAATATCCCACAAACTGACCCAAAACGGCCCAAAGTGACCCGAAATGTCCCAAAATGACCCAAAATATCCCAAAAA